AAATTTGCAAGTCTCAAATGCTTGGCTGCCTTATTCAGCTTAATTTCTAGATTCATCGAATACTGAACAGCAAAATGTGATTTCTTTAGTTCCAGCTTCACACATTTTGCAAATTTTATATTGTGATTTGTAAAACATGATTTATGGTTGTATCTTATATATGAGCTCAGTCATTGTGACTTATGGGAAAAAATAATTAAAACAAACTATGTTAGCATAGTGCTTACATGTGGAGTTAGAATATGTACTATTTGGTCTGGATACTGCCTTAGCTTTTGGGTATTCAGTTTTCTAACCCTCTATTAACTATCCTCAGGTTACCTGTTTGTCAATCAGGTTACACCTTGCCACCAACAAAGTGCTCCTAAGCTGTCTATAAACTGCTAGCATTTAGAACAGTTTTGTAAAATATGCAGTACAGTGATTTTGCCTTGTGGTAAGTGCACCATAACCTAGTTTTGACAGATTAATGCCCACTTTTTCTTTTTAGTTCTTTTGCGTCCCCCCTTTTCTCAGTTACTCGGCACCATTAATCCACAGAGACCTGCAAATTCTTTGAAAGAGTGATTTACAACATTAGAGGTTGCCCTTCTTTTTAAGCACTTAAAGCAGCTGGTTCTCCTTTCAGCCTTGCGTGGTTGTTCAGAGGTTGCTCCTGGCGGTCTCTGCCTCCGCGTGCATCTATGGCTATTTTGCTTTGTATTAGGATACAGTGAAACAAAGTGCCTGTGAATGTATGTGCCTGTGGAAATAGGATTAACTGAACAGCTGGGCCAAAAAAACCAATCAGAATAGAGCTGGAAGGGACTTTGGAGGTCTAGTCCAACTCCCTGCTCAAGCAAGAGACTCTATACCTGTGATGGCGAACCTATGGCACGCGTGCCAGAGGTGGCAGACAAAACCCTCTCTGTGGGCACATGCGCCATCGCCAGTTGCTCTTCCGGGTTCCAGCGCGCACATGTGCACCAGCCAGCTGCTCTCTTTTGGGTTCTGGCGTGCACATGCGCGCCGGCCAGCTGGGCTTCGCTGGCCGATGCGCATGTGCACGCCAGAACCCAGAAGAGCATCTGGCTGCCGCATGCATGTGCGCCGGCCAGCTGCTCTCTTCCGGGTTCCAGTGCACACACTCCAGTGCCAAAAAGGTTAATTATCACTGCCCTATACCATTTCAGACAGTTGGCTATCCAGTCTTTTCTTAAAACCCTCCAGTGATGAAGCACGCACAACATCTGAAGGCAAGCTGTTCCACTGGTTATTTGTTCTCACTGAAAAGATATGATGGTTTGATTGGTTCAGAATGATGTGCTTTGTATGCACTTTTCTAAAGCATCTGTTTTGAAGGATTGTACAGACCTAGTAGTGGAGGAACCATATGCAGGATTCCACCTCCCATTATTCTGAGAATTTTGGAATATGTGTACTATAACATAATCTCTTTTTCCCCCCACTTGTTAGTACAATGGAATGAAAACTAGACAACAAAAAGTTTTCTTCTCTGCAAATTTTCTGGATTGCCCAAAGTTCATTAGATAGAATTGCAAAATTAGTCATGGAAAAATTCCACTTGTTTAGTTATAATATGTTGTCTTGAAAAAATAGAATGTTTAATAAAATGAATAATTTGAAATAATCAAACAGCACATTCTGGATACAGTCTAATAAAATACTGGGAATTGAGAAAGGCATTTTCTTCTGCAGAGTATTTTTGAGAGAGTTGAGCTGGATCTAAACATCTGTAGCATTACAAACTAATTTTTACCAATAATTAGTTGCTAGTAATGAAAAAATTATACATTTCTTTACATAAATAAGGAATCTTGTGTTTGTTTTTGTTTTGCTTTGTTTACTCAGAAATTAATAAAATGTGCTACTTTAGCATATTTACTTTAATATGATGTCTAAACTTAATCTTTTGGGGTTATTTTGGAACCTGAAATTCTTGGCCTATGTGGTATATTGTATTTTTAAATTGTTTTTTAATGAATCACTTTGTGTCTTACTAGCCTTTTCAGTGGAGGGGGGAGCAGAGCAGGGGTGAAATCCAGCAGGTTCTGACAGGTTCTGGAGAACCAGTAGCAGAAATTTTGATAGTTTAGAGAACCAGCAAATACCACCTCTGGCTGGCCCCAGAGTGGGGTAGGAATGGAGATTTTACAATATCCTTCCCTCAGGAGTGGGGAGGGAATAGGGATTTTGCAGTATCCTTCCCCTGGAATGGGGTGGGAATGGAGATTTTGCAGTATCCTGCCACGCCCACCAAGCCACACCACGCCAACCAAGCCACACCAACAGAACCGAGAGTAAAAAAATTTGGATTTCACCGCTGGAGCAGAGCCAATGGAATGTGGCCTTTCAGATGTTATTAGACTTCATTGTTCCTAACTATTAGTCTTATTGACTAGAACTGATGTTGTTCACTTCCAACAACATTGTTCCTTCCTGTGGGTCATCTGAAAGCATATTCTTTATGAATTGTAAAAAGAAAAGTGCTTTTTGTCAAGACAAGGGCAAGAAAGCTAAAGTAGTATGAAGGGTTAAAATAGCCATAGAAGATCTTCCTTCCTCTTCCTGAAGAAGCAGGAATGGTGTGTAGGAAATGATCAGTTTGGACCGTCTAGAATTGAGTTATGTACTTCAGACATTGAGCTTTTTGGTGGGATCCCTGTTTCAAAGATGAACAATTTCTCTGGATTATGTGTGTCAGCTGAATACACTGTACTTCAGTTAGCAAATTAGTCTCATCAGTTGCTTTTTAAAAACAAAAACTGTAGAGCACATTGTAATACTTCCCAACTAGCCTCTGTAGTATCTTTGAACATCTGTCCTGGGAAATCAAGACTCTCTCCTGAGATGTTCATATTGAAGCGGTTGCTATAGCAAAGTGCTACTGAACCCCTCTCCCCCCCCTTTTGGAGGTCCTTAGTAAAGGTTTTATAATAGGCATTGTTGTTTAGTCCACTGTTTAGTCCACTGAGTAAATTATGTGTTGGAGCAATAGCTTCATTGTCTGTTGTTTTATTATGTTTCTTTCCTGAATATAAGTTTTCTTTTTTAAAAAATACACTTTATTTGGAAACTTTAAAAGGGCCATGCTATCTCTGAATTCTTATCTATACAGCCCCCTCCTTTCTGGAGAATGCGATTTTCTAGAATGTTGGTGTAAAATGTTAACACAGCAGAAATAGAATTTTTAAAATGGGTGCAAATAGGCATGTGTAGTTTAGGGTCTACATCAGTATCCTTTTGTGATTCCCAGTGAACTGGGTTAATTATTTGGCCCTTTTTTCCTGACTAGGAATTTGAATAGGGATTGAGAAGTGAAAAATGACCCTTAAAGTTACAATTGTTAAGGCACCTCATTTCACCTCCTAAAATCCCTTGAGGACACTGCACAAAAAAGGTGTAGAATTATTTGTGCAAATGAACATGCAATTGTTAAAACGTGTAAGCTTTTTTTGAAATTTGAAATTACAAAGAGGAACAAGTGAAAGAATTATGATAAAGTGGGATAAAATTTTTGGTTGTAATATACAGATGGAACAATGGGAACATTTGTAGCTGAAAGGACTGAAATTTACATTATGTTATAAAGTTGAGATTTATTATTTAGTGTATGGCATACAATGTTAGGGAAATCTATAAATGCTAGCTTACTAGGCTGCAGTCCTAACAGCCTAGATTGCTAGTTCATTCCATTTGGGGCTTGTGCATCTGTCCTTGGTGCACTGTGGGGGCAAATTAGCTTTCTACCAATTAGCTCAGCCGTACCAAATTGGCGGCCCATGGGCTGGATGCATCACATGCAGGCCACACCCATCCCAGCTCCTCAAAGGCAAAAAACATCGTGATATGTCATGACACATCATGTGACGCAATCGAGTTTGACACTTGTGAATTAGGTAGTGGTGAATGGGTTGCTGACTCTTCCAAGCTCCTCCACTCGGAGGAGCTTGGATCACTTGCCTCACCACTTTATTTATTTATTATTTATTAGTCATATTTCTATGCCGCCCACTCTCCGAGGACTCTGGGCGGCTTACACCAAAGACAGTATACTAAATAGCATATTGCCCCCAACAATCTGGGTCCTCATTTTACCCACCTCGGAAGGGTGGAAGGCTGAGTCAACCTTGAGCCTGGTGAGATTTGAACTGTCAAATTGCAGGCAGCCGGAAGGCAGCAGAAGTATCTTGCAGTACTGTACTCTAACCACTGCCTCACCTCGGATCATGATGCCTTGCATCTGACCAGGTCCAATGCCAGCTTCCGCTTTTTGCACACATGAACATAGCAAAGTCCCCCCCCCTCCGAATATATCTACTTGCAATATTGCCTGCTTTCAAACCACTGGGTGGGCAGGAGCTAGTGATCGAGTGACGGGAACTCACTCGGTCTCATGGACCTGGGCTCAAACTGCCAGAGTGCAGACCATTTCTGCTCAGCAGTTCCAGTGTCATTAAGCCTTTGTGCTACTGCATCCGCTATAAAGCTGAGAATTTTTATACAGTGTCTATAAAAATTGTCTAGAATGCATAAGGACACTTGATACAGTTTATATTGAAAATGTGAATAAGAATGGATATTTCATCATGTTTTGTGGACATGTGAAGAAACTGGAAAAGTTTGGATTAAAACACACAGATTTCGAGGACCAGGACATTAATATAAAATTGAGAACAGAAGGTTTTCTTTGTGAATATATGGACAGTTGCAAAAAACTTTATTTCTGTGCATAATAACTTCAGTGAGATTATTGTATGCACAAAGATATAAAAATTTGGTACCATGCACAATGGAGGAATGGTTGGTGAAGATGATGGAACTTGCTCAGATGGGCAAATTGATTTTTTCTGATCAAGAAAAGACAATATCTACATTATTGCTGACCGAAAACCTCTTATAGATTTTTTGCATACAGTAGAAACTTTGCCATGATTGACTTGCACAGTTGGCCTGAGCAACAAGCAATTACCTCTTAGTTCTGCCTTTCTTTTTTCCAGTTAAAGAAGAGGCAACAAGACATTGTGCGATTTCTGGAAGCCAACAAGATTGACTTTGAAGAAGTGGATATCACCATGTCAGAAGAGAAAAGGCGGTGGATGTATAAAAATATTCCTCAAGACAAACTGCCTGCACAAGGCAACCCATTGCCTCCCCAGATCTTCAGCAATGATGAGTACTGTGGAGTAAGTAACTTTCAAAAGTTTGTGGTTTCTCCATTTTATTACAGAAGAAAAACGAGGAGTGTACTGGACAATAACTCCAGGTAGCATGAATGTGGAGGGCACCATGGTGATTAGATCCCCTCCCATGTGCTGTGGAGGAGTTTTTGGATTATGCCAAGGAATTATGGGATAATGAAACATCTGGTGATTGATTTTTCATCTCTGACATATTTCTAGCCTTAGATGAAATTTAAAAAGCCCTTGCTTGGTGGAAACCAACAGGAAAGAGAAGCATGTCTGTTCCTTTAAAGCAGACATCTCTAAGAAATTTTGATTGTATCTGAATATATACCCTCCCAGTGTTTCTTGCTTCCATAATATGTCAAACATCTATTCTCCATAAAATAAAGACAGGGCAATTCCCAATCATTTTTCTTCATCAGATTCATTATGAAGAGTATTGCGTTCACCAGTAGGTCACTATAAATTTTTTGTTGGGTCAGGTTTCATCTTACTAGAGAACTTTCTGTTTGATTTTATTCTGTTTTCTAACACTTCATACTTTTACTTTACTTTTACTTTTATTTGATTTATATACCGCCCTACTCCCGAAGGACTCAGGGCGGTGAAGAGCCAACAATAAAATCCATACATACAAAATTTAAAAAGCAGAAATAAAATCAAATTAAATAGTTTTGGCCCAGACAAATTAAAACCCCAATCAATTTAAAACCAATTTTAAAATTTGAATATATAAAATACTAAAAAATATTAAAAGTTAAAAATTCTTTTATAAAAGAGGGAGAAAATTAGGCCAGGCTCGCCTGATGAAATAAAAAGGTCTTTAGAGCACGGCAGAAGGTGCGCAGATCCGGGATCCTCCGTATCTCCGGGGGGAGCTCGTTCCAGATAGTAGGTGCCCCCACAGAGAAGGCTCTCCCCCTGGGGGCCGCCAGTTGGCATTGTTTGGCCGACGGCACCCGGAGAAGCCCCTCTCTATGGGAGCGTACCGGCCGGTGGGAGGCTATTGGTGGTAGTAGGCGTTCCTGCAAGTACCCAGGTCCTGAGCCATGGAGCGCTTTAAAGGTGGTCACCAAAACCTTGAAGCGCATCCGGAAGACCACCGGGAGCCAGTGCAGCTCGCGCAGGAGGGGTGTTACATGGGAACGCCAAGTCGCTCCCATTACCACCCGCGCGGCTGCACTCTGCGCCAGTTGGAGCCTCCGGGTGCTCCTCAAGGGGAGCCCCATGTAGAGAACGTTACAATAGTCCAGGCGGGAGGTTTACAGGCAAGGTAAATAAATAAATAAATTTAAGGGTTTTAAAGGTGAAAGGGCATATCATGAACATTAAAAAAACTTGTATAAATTATCCATTAATAGAATACTTACTTAGCACTGAAAAAAATCATTAAAAGCACAGCATAATGAAATAGTGTTAATAATTGTGTTACTGTGTGTATTCATGTGTGTGTAGTGGTTGCACTTTTGTGACTAATGTGAGCGCAACAGTTGTCAACATTTCACTGGGTTATTAATCAAACAGTACTATTGATTCAGTGAACCTATGTTGTAAGTATTTATATGGATATTCAGGCATGGTTGGATGTGCAATAAAAAAGATGAAATTTGGACTGAGCTAACATCTGGATATATCTGACAGCAGCTATGTACTATGCATAACAATCCTGTTTTTGCATAACAATTCTAGCATATCTGAATTCATAATAATCTGTTTTAATCCATTTACAATTGCTTGGCAATTCTGTATTAAAAATCTGAGCTTTGAAAATTGAAGACTAAAAATGACAGCTTTGGTTTCGTGATAAATAGGTCATGGGAAATATAAAAGAATTTTTGGTCTTTCTAAAGAGAAACCAAGCGCTACACTTTCCAAATAAAGCAGTCCTTTAACAACAGTGTTTTACAAACAATGAAACTTAATTTGAAAAATCTCCCAGTAGCTTTCTGTAAAAATGTTAATTTTTTCTCTGTTAACGTTTCTTTTTCTGTATGTTCTCAAGTGTTCTGGAAAAAATGAAATCACTATCTTTGGAGATTTTCTAGTATTTGAGCAGAAACCCTGAGGATGCTACTTTCTCTGATAAATACATAACAGTCAGCAGCTGGCTACCAATGACACAATATTACCTCATGTGTGAATGTTGACAAAACTATTGTGTTTGTTTTTTTTTTACTAAAATACGTTTTTTAGCTCTTGCTTAATTTTTAATGACATAAAGTTGAAATATTTATTTTTAAAGGATACATATTCTTTATATTTATATTCTTTATATTTCTGGAACTATTTCTTTAAACGGACAATGAGTAGTCTGGTTTTCTAATAAAAACAATAGACTTTTTAGGATTAATACTAGAACCCCACAGCCTCAGATTTGGTTCAGGGCCTCACAGATTATGTGGGCCCTCAATATTAACTAAACTTGTAGCAATAATGTGATAAGATAGGCAGCCAATAAAATAATAAAACAATAAAATAAAATAAATAAATAATGTAGTAGTAAATGCATTACTTCTGGAGTATATTGACCCTGGAGGAAGTAGAGGTATCAGAAAACCAAGTTATTTATTTACAAATGGTTGTCTTTCAGGAAAGGGAAAAAATAAATAAAGCACGGGCATGTAAATGCTTGTCAAGAATTGCTTTGGTGGGAGTAGTTTATTTTGGTGTGTTTGTTACAGCTGCACACAGAGTTCAGTGGAAAACTCCTAATCGGATTGCCAACTGATAAAATAGGCTGCAGGTGGTGTTTTACAATCATAACAATACACAATGCATGCCCTTGTTCAGAATAATATGGGGTTGGCAGAAAGAGCTCCCAGAGGTAGAAGCCTCAGATACTTAGTGGGATGTACATCAGAACAGCCAAAGATAAATTGCAGGCAAGATTAAACAACAACTACCCATTCTTTCACTTGTTCTGAAACAATAGTCATCTTTGTTTGCCTTAGGAGGAAGATTGTTTGTAGTAATAGAACTCCTATTAACCACTCAGGCAATAGCTTAAGGGTAGAAATGGGTCCTCAGTAATTTCTTCATCTTACAATTGTCCATTTAGACAATTGATTTAAAAACCAAAGTGACACAGTCCTTGCTGCCATCTAGTGGTCAGGTGGATTAGTGCCCCCCTCATTGGTTTCCTTGTTTTTAGTGTTTTGCTATTTGCATCTTGATTCTCCTTTTCTTGTACCTTACTTGTTTGCTCCTTAAGAGCTGCCTTGAATTTTGTATAATAGGTGTGGCAAGCAATGGTCTAAGGCAAGGGTGTTCAAACTCAAGGCCCGCAGGCCAGATCGGGCCCGTGGGGTGCTTAGATCTGGCCTGCGGGGCCACCCTGGAAACAGCAAAGGACTGGCCCACTATGCCTCTGTCAGTGAAAACAGAGGTTGGGTGGGCCGTGTTTTTGGCCGTGATGGCCTCCTGCAGTCCTCTGCCAGTGAAAACGGAGCCCGGGTGGCCCGCATGTGGCCCCCCTGAGCTTCGTTTTTGCTGGCCATTACGGCCGAAAATGGAGCCTTGATGAATGACATTGAGCTGACCATACTCATCCCCCCGTGGTCCTCCTGAGATCAAACACAACCCTAATGGGGCCCTCAATGAAATTGAGTTTGACACCCCTGGTCTAAGGCAAGAACCCCTGGTTCTTAACTTGAGGTAATTTGAACATATCCTGGGGGTAATGTAGCAATTTTTTAAAGTGTTTGTTTTTGAGCTGGTTTGAAACTGCTGCTGTTGCTGAGACACTTATGTAAAGACTCTGGGTTTTGTGGAGATAGTGATATGGAGATAATGACATTATTTGAGACAGGAAAAGGATTAATTGGGTCAAATATTTCAAATCGCACTGCTCTGATGGCTGGATACTTTCTGGAGCCATCTCCCGAAGGTCCACAGAGTCTCCCAACACCCAATTATGCCACTGGAACGACTTGTCTAATTACTGAAAAGCGCTGGGGTGTCTGTTAAGAGAGAAAAGCCTGCTGCAGTGATTCATGTTTAACTATCGTTGATTTTAGGATTTTTTAATTTTTCTCACTTGGCCCTGCCTTTTTTTAATATATATATATTCAACCAGCTGTGTTTTTACCATTTCCCCCAATTTTTTTTTTTAAAAAAAACATTTGTAACCCTCTGCCAGCGAAAGACAGCCCATCCCTTGGGTAAAAAGGCAGACAATAAATTGTAGAAATAAACATGGAAAAGCTAAGATGGCAGGAGCTTATCCTATACATGAGGAAATCTTTTTTTTTTAAAGGTTCAAAGTGTACTTAAATAAATTCCTGCAAAATTAAACTTAAAATATGTCTTCTGTGGAGGGAAGGTATTATTAGCTGATTTGCATAAAAGCCTGCTTAACTGCATGAGTTGCTACAGAATAAAAGATTTTAGCCCAAGGTATTTTACACATGAACAGTGAAGACCAGACTTTCTGATTGCTTTACATTTCCAACAAGGAAGCTTCTCTTCAGACCATAAAGCTGTTGGTGGATAGAGTAAAGCAGTAAATAGGTTAAAAACCAAACAATTGTCCTTTACGAATCTACAACATTCTAGACAGCTTTTTTTTTTAAAGTGACAAAGTCGACACTTGCAAGCAGTGCTGAGAAGAATCCTTTTTTTAAAACTCACAGGCCTTAATTGTCCTTTGCACGTTAATTATCTAAGAAGCAGGGTGCTTGACTCTGACAATTTGCCAAATGATTTTTCTCACCATTTCCTATTTTCTTTAAAGGGAACAGATCATTTGATCACCGCCTAGCATCTATAAAGGTAATTGCTATAGGCAAGTGAATTCAAGTATGTTAATTGTAGTATGCAGAGGAAAGGTTGTCTCATGTAGATTCTAGCCTGTCTTGCTAGATTCCAGCAGCTCCCTTGCCAGGAGCCAACCAAAGTACATCTGGCTGGGGAAGTAGATTTTTTAAAAACCTCTTTAGGTAAGTAGCTGCCTTCGGTTTTGATATGGAGCAGAAGTTCATTTACTGGGGCAGGGATGGGTA